AAAAATCAGTGTAGTCGCCGGAAAAACTCAAAGTGGTCGGAATCAAACGAAAAAGGTATGGACAGACTCGGAATTACTAGGCGATCCGACTGTCCAACTGGAAGATTTTCAAAAAATGGCCGAAACAGTGCTCACGCGCCGGCGCGTGGGGGCGCGTGGGTCAGATTTGCCGGAATATCGCCGGCGCGTGAGGGCGCGTGAGGTGGTGTTTTCCGGTGGGGTTTACTGGGGTTTGGTCGCCGGAGCCTTGGGAACCCTGTGGTGGTGTTGGTTTTTGCACAACACTGATAATTAGTGACTTTGACGCAATTAGTCACTTAGGTCACCGGAAAATTGCACGGTGACTGAGTTGTTTCTTCCCGGATATCGTTGGAATGACGCACAACGATAAATTTCTCACGGTTGCTCTGATACCATGTGAGAAAGCACGGGAGAAAATATATTATTAATGTATATTCATATGTTACAATGAGCCCTATATATATACACACATAACATGTCCTACTCCTAATATATATTGGATTAGGGTTATTTATTTACTCCTATTTACATGACTATTCTAACACGTCTTCATCTCCTTAAAGAATTTCATTCATCACTTGTCGGTGGTCATGCTGGTGTCGCCCGGACTTTTCATCGATTGGCCTCAATTTTTTTTTTGGAAAGGAATGCGCAAAGCGTACAGACCTTTGTGGCTTCCTGCCAAACTTGCCAACAGATGAAAGATATTCTCAAACAACCGGCTGGACTTCTTCAACCCCTCCCTGTTCCTGCCTTAGTATTTGAAGAAGTCACCATGGACTTTATCACTGGACTCCCGGGATCCAAGGGTAAAGCAGCTATCTTAACAGTGGTTGATCGATTGTCTAAATATGCACATTTTGTTGCACTTCCTTCCACTTTTACAACTCACTCAGTTGCTGCAGCATTTACTTCTGAAATAATCAGACTTCATGGCCATCCTAAGATTATCGTCACGGATAGAGATCCACGCTTTATGAACTCTTTTTGGAAGGAACTACATCGTTTGCAAGGAACTACTCTTTCTATGAGCACTGCATACCATACCGAGACTGATGGACAGTCCGAGGCCCTCAATAAATGTATAGAACAGTACTTACGTTGCTTTGTAGCCGACAGCCCCCACGAATGGACTCCCTTGCTGCCTTGGGCTGAATATTGGTATAACACTGCGTAACAAACAGCAGCTGGGATGACCCCATTTCAAGCTCTATATGGCCGGGAGCCTCCTACTATGGTGCGTTATGTCCTTGGGAGTAGTTCTAATGCTCTGGTGGAACAGTACATGCTTCAAAGAGATGAAGTTATGGATTTGCTAAAGCATCATCTACTCAAAGCACAACAACGCATGAAGGACTTTGCAGATCGCAAGAGGCGACATGTGGAATTTGCAGTTGGTGATTGGGTCTTTGTGAATTTGAAACCTTACCGGCAACATTCTGTACGATTGCAGCGCCATCAAAAGCTGGGACGGCGGTATTTTAGCCCCTTTAAGGTGCTTAACGTATTGGCGAAGTCGCTTACAAACTTGACTTGCCAGAGGAAGCTCGCATACATCCTGTTTTTCATATCTCCATGTTGCGTCCTTGCATTGGAACTCCTGAGAACCAGATTACGCCCTTGCAACTACATGACACTTATCAGGATTTGTCACAGAACCTTGAGGACAAGGTTCTTAGCAGCGATGGGGGTATTGTCATGATTGATATTGGGCAAGATGACAACATGGATGATGGGCCAACACGAGAACAATCTGATGGGCCAACTGGACTGCTGAGGAGAAGCAAACGAAATAAACGACCAACCCAAAGATTGAAGGACTACGTGTGGAAACCTGTGTAGTGGGGAATATGGATGAACTGTCATGGGTAGCGGGGAATACGGTTAAATAGCAATGTGTGGGAATCACTTAAATAGCATATTGATAGCATAGTAGTAGTAGGTTGAATTTGATAGAATCTCTCCTAATCCTCTTCGTCTCAGTTCCTCTATTGCCTACTTCTATTCTTTTTCCTTCCCCTCTCATTTATCCTTATCTCTTTAGTTATTGTTGTTTATAGTTTGCAAGTACTTTTCTTTAATAGAAATCCAGTTAGTTTCCTTTGAATTATTGTGTGATATTAGAGATTAGAACACATACTTTGGTTTAAAAAAGGAAAATCAAGCACACTTACTTGTTGAAGAATTCTGTTGTTCCACTTGAAATGTTGATGAAAGCACAAAATTCGTGGATTATAAATGCTCCTCGTCATTCAAAGTACGTTCTGCATGATTTTCTTTTTAAATGGTAGAGTGGCTTTTTTGAGAGATGTAAGAACAAAAACGGGCTACAATGGTGGAAATTGGGAGAAACAGGTAAGGGGGAACTTCTCAAAATGGAGTAAAGAAATTTCTTCTTTTTGGGGTTTGTTGGGAGGAGGGGGGGGGGGGGGACCGAGGAACGGGGAAGGCACCATTAAAGTGCAGCATATTTCCATAAAGCACTTGAAGGCGCTAGCCGCACACCTTCAAAAAAGCTGTAGATGGTGTCAAATCAACATGAAGGCGCGAGTCGCCTTCAATATCTTTTCATTTTTTTTTTGAAACCAAAAATGCGTTGTAGACAGCACCATTTTGCGTTTTTACATAACAGAAATTTTGACAGTCCCATTTATTGGACTGGGCTCTCATTTTGCCTCATTTCAAGAAAACCCTCTCCCATTATCTCAACCGCATCGACTTCCTTTTCCTTTAACTTTCAAGCCTTCTGGACCCCTTTAAGAAAAGAAAAGAAAAGAGCAGACTGCTTTGCCAAAAAGGAGTCAGAGAACGAAGTTTTCTTTGGTGATGTCTAAATTTCTCTAGCAGCTTGCCTTAGCAGTTTCTGCCAATTGTTTGCCTGCTTATTTGCTCTCCTAGGACTCCAGTCACCCGGCTCTGAAGAGATTTATGTTTGTTGATACTTGGGTTATTTTTTCCCCTCAGTTATTTTTTGTTTAAACTTGTATTTTTGCCATAAATGTATGTTTGTGATTAAGCGAGCATGGAATGATATAAAATTTTGATGACAAACACCATATTTTTTCCTAATTTATAATAGATTTTGGGGGCACATTTGCAGAACTTTTGTTTTATATTTGGAATCAGCCAATGTTGCTTTGTTGAACTGCTGCATGAGTGACGGTTTAAATATTCTGTCAATTCTTATGTGCTTCCAATACCTTTGGGGGGGGTGTGGGGGAGGGGGGGGAAAAAAAGAGTAGAGATTATCTGGTGTATTTGTTCTTTTTGGTCGGAAAGAAACAATACTCATATTAAGGTAATAAAAGCTGCGTACAAGGAGTAGCGGGCGCAAGTGTCGTGCTATGGTGGCTAACAAAACTATGTAAACTAGGTGAAGACTCATAACTGAGTCATTACAAAAAAGGGAGTTGGGAACACCACGAATACTAGGGCGTGGTGGGTCGGTGATAGTGTAGTTTGTTTGATTTTATTACATATTATTTTATAATTATTTTCTGGTGAAGAGATAAGAGAGCTAGACACTTGCCATTTATTATACAATGACATATTCTTACATTAGATTTGATCAGAGAATGGGTTACTTATATGGATTGAATATTTTGCTGTCTTGGCCCGCGTAAACAGTATATGACCGTGGTTGTTTGCAGTTTAATGCTCGGTCTGAATCAATAAAGGAGAAGGCTTCATTTCGCCGCCTTGTCCCAAAGAATAGGTGCCTGGTGGCAGTTGAGGGGTAGGTTCTTTCTTCAACTGTAATAAGTCCATGAGAGTATCCATTCTGTATGCTATCTACTTTTGTCTGCTTCTTTTCCCATAACTGACATCCTCTATCTCAAACTGATATTTTTCTTTATAACAGACAAATCGTCAATAACTTTCAGTGAGTGGGACTTACCTAATTTTGCTTCCAAAAAAGAAAAGTAGAAGAAATACTAAAAATTAGAGGATATTGTGGAGAAACCCAAAGCTTTCTTTTTTTAATGGATTTTTTTTTGAAATGGAAATTTTTGTTTTTTCAAATGGATTTTTTTTGTTTTTTGAAATGGAGTGGTGAACCCAAAGCTTCTTTCATGTAAATTTCTCTTCTGTTGTCAGAATAGCAGAATTTGTCCCAATTGCAATGTCAATGGTTCTCAGTGATGCTATTTTCTTCAGATTTTATGAGTGGAAAAAGGATGGATCAAAAAAGCAACCTTATTACATACATTTTAAGGATGCTCGGCCCCTGGTGTTTGCTGCCCTTTTTGACTCTTGGAAGAATCCTGAAGGTGAATTACCATCTTTTTTAGGGTGACTCATAGTGTGAGTTACTAGTCGCAATCACTAACATCATCCTAATTCATGATCTGTCTATTTCTATTTAAAAATTTTATAGCATCCAAAATTGAATTCGGAATTACAACTTTGAATATCTTGCTAATGACTAGCTGTAGGCCTTTCAATTTTATTTTATATATGAGCCAGATAACAGTATGCAGATATTGCTCTCTTTATATTAATTCTCTACTTACCTTATGGATCTGAAATACTGCACTTGTGAGATAATGGATAATGCTCCAACTTGATGCGTTCTTTTATACTTATTCTAGTTAGCAAATTACATCCATTGGATAACTTGAATACTGCTGAGATTTGTTCCTTCTCGTAACACAGGAGAGGTTCTTTATACATTCACTATATTGACAACTTCGGTGTCTTCATCTTTAGAATGGCTCCATGGTTAGTTTTCTTTTATTGACTGTTGGTAAATTTTCCTTTATTCTTGATGTACATTTTACTCTAATTCTGGACCTTTTTATTGTAGAATGCAATATTCAAATAAAAATACCATAATCCTATTGATGACAAACAAAAGTCATAGAAAGCTATTTAACTTTTCATTATCAAAAGAAGAAAGTTATTTAACTTTTCAAAAATCCTCTACTTTCTTCGTAGAAAATATCTTAGTTTCACCATTTTTAGGTAACTCGCTGGTTTCAAACTGGAAAGCTGTCAGAAAACAAAAGCGCTCTAATGGATATTTCAGGCTATTCGTTTCTTACTATCCTAAAAAGAAGAAAAGAGAAAAGTGAGATAACTGTACTAAATATAATGGCATACATAAAGTTGACGAACATAAGGAGGCTTTACTGAAAGAGGAAAACAACAAAAAGTTACACTAGAATAATTGTTCTCTTTCATAGTCTTTAATATCATGTTTATACAATTATCATGTGAGTAAATATATTGAAGCATTATCAATTTTTAGATAATATGTAATGAGATTGTGTGGTGATCATCACAACATCGATGGTGTAAAAATTTCGTCAAAAAGTTACATGTTAATGATTTTTAGCACTAGATTATTCTGCACTAAATGCTATTCTGTATTTAAAGGATTTTGTATAGAAACTCTAGTTTTTTTCATAATTTTATGTTAATACCACATGCACTAAAAAAAATTAACATGCATACAAACTAGTTGATAAAAAGTATATTGAAATTGTTCCGGTTTGCTTACAAGTTTAATATGATCCAGCGAACCATAACACGGTGGGATATATTTGATTTGTTTAATGAATAAAAATTTGGGAAATTGTTAATTGTACTATTGTATAAAACATATTGTGATATACTCAGGGAACTGTATTGCTGCATACAAAGGAATGGAGACGGTGAATTACAACTTATATGACCGTAATTTCTGTTTTTATTTTCCCTAGTTCCATGGTTGGAGCTGCGGTTGTGGATGTGAGAAAGGAATGAGATTTAATTAAAGGAGCCTGCCTTGAAAAAGTTTTTTAGATTGTTACAGATGTTCGATCAGGAGCATTGCTATATAGTAGTTAGTGCTTTGCCCTCTGAAATGTCTGGTGTGGCATCATTGACTTAGGATGCTAGACACCTAAAAGCACTGGGTTGATGGGAGTTTAAGGAACTAAATGGACATGTTGACTCTCACTTGTTAACAGAAGGATTTTACACGTTGGTGGGGGTAGCATGTGAATAGACAATACAAACATGTATATTTATGGGGGATATGCCATAACTAGCAGAAGACTCCTATGTAAGGAGTCTGTCTCGATTATTAATCACTGGTTCAAGACAAGTTCTATCTCTTCTATTCTCTTGTTTCACAAAGGAAAAGAGAAATCTTTATCTCAAAGTCATATCAGGGATATGTGGAAAAATAAGTTTTCTCAAACTGAGTATGTGCCCTTTCTAGCTGGCTAGCATCATATTTTCGGGTGAGAGATTGGAGAAAAATTTAAGTGGAAACAAATGTTCAATTTTTTTTTTTTTTGAAGATGATTTGTTGCAACTTCCTTTTCCAAATTGTGAAGATACTGAATTTTATTGCATTCCATGGAGTCTCTTCCCATTTGTCTCATCTATATGACTGTCTTTGACTTTTGAGACCTAGCAGTTTGATTTGATGCCAGATTCTATTTGTTATATTTCTGCTTTGAATAACACTTAAAATTTTGTATTTTAGACAGGATGCCTGTCATTCTCGGAAACAAGGATGCGGCTGATATGTGGTTAAGTGGTTCTCCGTCATCCAACATTGACATGCTATTGAAACCATATGAAGAGTCAGATTTGGTGATATTTCTGAATAATCAATCTTTAGGAAGAAAAGAGTGTTGTGAACTCGACTTATCCAAAAAAAAAAGTGTTGTGAACTCGACATCTTCTAAAACTGTCTTTATTGCAGTCTTGGTACCCCGTGACACCTGCAATGGGTAAGACTTCTTTTGATGGACCGGAGTGCATCAAAGAGGTATGATTGCTTTGTTGTTTTCCATACATTTCATGTTATGAGCCAACCTAGATCAGCTAAGAGCTTATGATAAACCTAACTTATCAAACCCTATATGTATGCAAGAGAACATAGTGCCTGGATGATGCCCCCTAGGTCTTTGGTAAAATAACAAAGGTAGTACAACTCGGGATTTGTGGTAGGTGTATGCCACGAGTCCGAATCCTATCTGGTGAACCAAGTTTAGTCATTAAGTGATAAAGTTTAAAAGCGCTTACTTATTGTTCACCAAGTTTTGAAGATGGGAGATAACAGATATCTCAGTTATATAAAACAAAAAAAGGGAACATAGTGCTTGAGCTTGAACAAATGTATAATGCTCATCACAGATGTGTCTTTTCAAATTGTCAACTCACCAGCATCTTCAAACCCGTCTGTGCTTAAGTTTCCTTTGTATAATAACCAGTTGCTAAGTCTCAAATAACTTTTCTTTTTCTTTTTAAGCTTTTCTTCTCCTTCTCAATCATATGGGTTCACAGCATCATCGGCAAGTTTGCATCTGATTGTAGTTCCAGATGGTTATGTCCTACATGATACATCCTCTCTCTCTCTCTCTCTATATATATATATATATATATTCTATGACCTATCATCTTTGCTTTAGAACAGTTAACTGCCATCAATGTCTAGAAGTGGTCTCTTTTAAGAATATTATCAGCAAGAAAATACACTGAATATATATATGCCCGTTCAGTGTATTTTCTTGCTGATAATATTCTTAAAAGAGACCACTTCTAGACATTGATGGCAGTTAACTGTTCTAAAGCAAAGATGATAGGTCATAGAATCTGTAACGGGCATCTGACTTTCCATATCTAGTTTATTTGTGTAAAGCACAGATGATAGTTGGTCATATGATACGAGCATGCTTCTTTTCCAGATGGTTGATCACTTTACATCCATGTTTGTACTCTGTCCTTGAGACACTAATTACTCCCTCTCACCCCCTTTTATACCCTATTAGATGCTAGGTCTGAATAATATCTCAGTCATTCCATGCTCTTTCCTTTTATATAGTTCATGAACTGTAGGGGATACGTAGGCGATGATTAATTAATAACTGCCTATTGTTTACACTTAAACCTGCAGTTGCAACTCAAGGCTACTGAGACCAGATCAATATCACAATTTTTCTCAAAGAAAGGAGAAAAAGACCTAAAGGAGCAGAAGCCTCATATCAAAGCAGAGGAAGAGTCCTTGAATACTGATCAGACAGAGAGCTTGAAGCAGGAACCTGAATCAGACCATGTAGGCGATCAGCGTTCCCCAGGCAAACCGGAGGTTTTTGCTTCTGCTGGGACCACAGACATAAAAGTTGAGCAAGACTTTGATGAGTCAGGTAGCAAACAGTCATTGACTGGTCAAACCGGAAATCCACCTGGAAAAGTAGGTAGTGTTGCCAGTGATAAGGTGAAAAGCTTGAAAGAGGAGTCTGAGGATATTAAAACCCAGGAGGGAAGTGGGGATTCTGGAACCAAGAGAGACTATGAAGAGCTCTCAGGTAATGCAAGGCCTCTTGCTAAGGGGGCTAACAAGCATGTAAGCCCATCACAAAAAAAAGCTAAAGGGGCTGGTGACAAACAGCCGACTCTATTTTCTTTCTTTGGGAAAGGCTAGTCGCATGACATACAATGCTTAGGAATGTACTGTATATAGTGAAGTTGGTATTTCTGTTGCTAAACAAACAAATGTTGGTAGCTCATGATTTTGTTTGAGGATCAACACACATCCTTAGCTTCTACGCTTGTTTTGCAGATTTGTGTTGGTATAATTTTCTTACTTAGACTCAGCTTCAGACAGTTGTGAAGTGATGGAAATGTTGTTTAGTGTATCTTGGCCAATACTGTTGTTCCAACGGGACTTGAATTTTGATTTTGAAATTTGTGCGGTCGCCTCCTTTTATGCGTAACCTTTCACAGGCTAGTGTGATGACCTGCCATGTCATCATGCCACATAGGCGTCATTTGGCATATATTAATGCTAAGTGAAAGTTTACATACGAGGAAGGCTAGCATTTGTGAGAAGATTCTAGAGAAGTATGGACATTTCCTTAGGAAGACCCTAGATCCCTATGGATTTGTTAGGAAAGTCCTTGGAATCTTTTAGGTTTGTAGATAATTCCAGATAAAGCCTTATCTTGTAAATATTAAGGATTTGTGTAACAATTAATATTTACACACTAGCCCCTAGGAGATTAGTATATAAAAGGGGTCATTCATTTGTAATTCACCAAACAAACAATTCAAGTTCTCTCTAATACAAAGCTTCCTTTAACAATTCTCTTGTGTTCTTATCTTTTATTCCCCTTAGCGATCTTGAGTGTGGTAATGCTGACTTGGCATAGCAAGAGTGTGAGCAGGTTGTGCAAGATCGTGAACGAGTTGTCAAGTATCGCACGTGTAGTTAGTTAATGACTAAGGACGTGACGACGTGGTATCACAGCAAAGGCTATGACTAAAGGAATGTAAGAAAGAATACAAGAGATTGCTAGAAGGAAGTTTTGTTAGGAGCCAAGGTCGGAATTACCAAGGGTGTGGTACTTGCAAAAGGGACCAATGTGAAGGTCCCTAAGCGAAAACAGTATGGCGGTGCACGGGACGCACGCGAGATGTCGGACTTACTTTGGAGGAACAAGTAATTTGAGGTAGTTAAGGATGATGACGAAGTTGCTACGATACGCAACGCCTCAATGTACTTGACCGAGGTTGTCACGCTATGGTGGCATCGAAAGTGTGCTGACATGGAGAAGGGGCTATGCAAGATTGAGTTGTGGGAGCAGTTCAAGAAGGAGTTGAAAAAGCAATTCTACTTGATGGATGTGGTGTACGAAGCTAGGCGGAAGCAAAGGGAGCTCTGACGGACGACCACAATTCGAAAGTATGTGCGCGAGTTCACTACCTTAATGCTGCAAATCCCATCGTTTTTCCAGGAAGATTCCCTCTTCTACTTCATGGATGAGTTGCAAAATTGGGCAAAGCAGGAGTTAAGAAGACATCAAGTAGCCAACGTGGACGAGGCCATAGCGGTAGCCGAGTCACTCGTTGACTTCAAGATGGAGCCTGCCAAGTCCAAAGAAGGCAATACCGAGAGAGGTGGGGTAGATCATGACAATGACAACGGAAAAAGCATAGCCGAGGTATATAAGGGAAATGGCAAGGGGCTATCCCATAACGGACAAGGTTCCAAGAGAAACGGATAGGGGCCGGGAAACGATAGCGAATACATGCCTAAGGGAGGGTGCTACTTTTGTAAAGGATCACATTGGGCAAGTGATTGCCTAATGTTGAGGAAGCTTGCAGCAATGATCGAGAACTTTGCTCAGGCACATAAGGGTGCAAGAGAAGGAGATGACTGCCATTGTGCATTGCCTTCGTACATGGCGATACTATTTTCTCGGGTCGAGGTTCGTGGTCAAGACCGACAATGTGGCTGCTAGCTACTTTCAAACGCAGAAGAAGCTCACACCAAAATAGGCAAGGTGGAAGGAATTCTTGGCCGAGTTTGATTATGTGCTGGAGTATAAGTCGGGCAAAGGTAACGTTGTAGCCGATGCCCGGAAAGCCGAGCTTGCTGCCATCATTTCAACAAGTTGGGACATTTGTAAGGCTATAAAAGAAGGCATGCAGCATGATCCAATAGCCAAACAACTTATCGAGTTAGCCAGCTAGGGCAAGACGAGACGTTTTTGGGTAGAAGACGGCCTATTTCTTACTACGGGTTGGTGGATTTACGTGCCTAAGTTTGGAGACATTAGTCGGCGGATCATAAGGGAGAGTCATAACACAATGCGGGCTGGTCATCCAGGCCAACGTCGTACTAGGGCCTTGGTTGAGTCAGTCTACTATTGGCCACGCATACGAGATGACATAGAGTGTTATGTGCAGGCTTGTCTTGTCTGTCAGCAGGACAAGGTTGAGCAACAACAGCCTGGAGGGCTTTTGGAACCGTTACCAGTCGTAGACCGTCATGGAAAAGCGTGACTATGGACTTTTTCACTTGTCTACCGAAGTCCGACGATTATGGTACTATTATGGTGGTGGTGGATAGATTTTCCAAATATGCCACCTTCATGCTTGCCTCACCAGGTTGCACTGCAAAGGAAGCCGCCAAACTATTCTTTAAGAACGTGGTGAAGTATTGGGGTTTACCAAAGCATATTATCAATGATCGAGACCTCCGTTTTACTAAAAAATTTTGGAAGAAATTGTTCGACATACTTGGCACGGAACTGCACTTTTTCACTAGTTTCCGCCCAGGGACGTATGGATAGACGGAATGAGTCAATACCTTACTAGAATGCTACTTGAGGCATTATATACGCTCGCATCAGAAAGATTGGGCAACGCTTCTGGACATCGCCCAATTCTCTTATAACTTGCAGCGGAGTGAGTCCACGGGGCAGACACTATTTGAGCTGGCCACAAGCCAACAACCACAAACTCCACATTCATTACCAGCCACGGTCGATGGAAAGAGTTTGGGGGCTTATCATATGGCTAAGGGATAGGAGGAGCAGTTTGACACTGCTAAGTCCTACTTAGATAAGGCAGCTAAGAAGATGAAGAAGTTTGCGGATTGTAAGCGACGTCCCACGGACTATAGAGTTAGGTACATGGTCATGGTGAAGTTTAACCCAAGACAGTTCAAGACACTACGGGGCATGCATCAGAATCTGGTTCGTAAGTATGAGGGGCCATTTAAGATCGTCGCCAAGGTAGGCAAGATCTCATACAAGCTTGACATGCCATTGTATCTTAAGATCTACCCTGTCTTCCGTGACAGCATGCTTCAACCATATCATGAAGACAAGGATGATACAAGTAGGGGCCAATCAAGTCGAGCGCCTGTTACTATCACCGCCTCGTGTGATCGGGAGATTGAGGCTATCATTAATTACCAGGCCAAGTGAAAATAAGGGCAGAAAGCCACTGCTATGTTCCTCATCCATTGGAAGGGGCAATCACCAGAGGAGGCCACGTGGGAACGATATGAATACTTTATGACAATTCAAAGATAAGATCCGAGAGTTTATGCAGCAAGTCAACAACATTGCGCCGCGATCATCGCAACATTAAGTGGGGGAGAGTGTGATGACCCGCCATGTCATCATACCACATAGGCGCCATTTGGCATATATATATATATATATATATATATATATATATATATATATATATATATATATTAATGCCACGTGGAAGCTTACATATGAGGAAGGCTTGCATTTGTGAGAAGATTCTAGAGAAGTATGGACATTTCCTTAGGAAGACCCTAGATCTCTATGGATTTGCTAGGAAAGTCCTTGAAATCTTCTAATTTTGTAGAGAGTTCTAGAGAAAGCCCTTATCTTGTAAATATTAAAGACTTGTGTAACAATTAATATTTACACACTAGCCCCTAGGAGACTAGTATATAAAGGGGGCCATTCATTTGTAATTCGCCAAACAAACAATTCAAGTTCTCTCTAATACAAAGCTTCCTTTAACAATTCTCTTGTGTTCTTATCTTTCATCCCCTTAGCGATCTTGAGTGCAGTAAAGCTGACTTCGCATAGCAAGAACGTGAGCAGGTTGGGCAAGATCGTGAGCGAGTTGTCTAGTGCCGCCCGTATACTTAGTTAACGACTAAGGACGTGACACTAGGCTCAATTTATCTGCCCTGTGGCTTGCTGATCCTCGTGGCAAACCTCCTATGTACAGTTGATGCTTCAAAAGTTTTATCCAACTATTTACTGTTCTTGCGCTTCTAATGTTCTGGCAGTAGATGCAGAATACTGTAGATCAAATGGATCACATACACAAGCCTATTCACTGCTCTTCGTTGTATAGGTTTCAAGTACCGTTGATCTTTGAAGCCGTAGAAAAATAAAACTAGTACCCTGTACCAGTCACTAATAATATTGGACAAAAGTTATTTTCCAAAAATCCAAAAACGAATAAATCCTTTAGAAATGTTGCAAGCAATGGGGAAACTTTGACCGATATTCCAGGATTCACGAATTAGTCATTTCACCATTTGGATACTTCAGGCTTTCAGGAATATGCAATGTGATAAGGTTGTGGAAGAAGCTTAAGAAAATATACTCAAGAAAGGCGCTTGCTTACACAAAATTGGATAGAAGTAACCAAATTAGGAACAGTCGATACAGTACTTGGAGGATTCCTATGTCTACCAGAAGGGAAGTATTCAAGTCTAGTGGGCAACATCTGAAGTGCGATATATATCATCATGCTTAATGAAAGCATCAAATACAACATCACTCGGCGCTCTAGATGCAGCATGCACTAAGCTCTCCTGAAAGAAGAAATGAAGGTGAAAGGGCCACTTCTTGATTCTTGTCTGTCCTTGCTAGGCCTTCCACGTGTCATTGCCACATATCCCATGTTGCACGGTAACAAGAAACGATCATCAGCCTGTCAAGAACATCAGGTCCAATGAGAATGCAGAAGGTTTCATAAGATAGTGAAAGATTGCGATGACAGCAAGTTTAACGAGGATCATTAAGAGCTGTTAAAGAAACTCATTCTCAGCGGAAACAGAATGAACTATAATATTGCATGATTGCTGAATAGAATACAGGGTATAAACCAAAAAATGGCATGCTTGGAATTGGACAGCACATTGCACCAGCAGAACAAGTCATTTTAAACATGCGGCAGGACAATAATGTATGAATGGATATGATACTGCTGAGTGTTCACAACTAGGCTACCATATGTTAGTGATGTGGAGGACTTTTAAGCCCATGAACATGTGAATACTATAGACGCCTGCAGATCAACATCAGAATCCAAGTGATTTCATAAAATGAGGCAAAGCGGACGGAATTTC